TGGTAATGTATATCGAAATATCGGAAATGTGTTTAAAAATCATATCACGGCTATTGAAAAAAATTATATCGCGATACATATTGATATTGAATTATTGTCCAGCCCTACATACTGGCATCCCATGTTGGGGTCTAGTATCCAAAACATATTATGTTGACTATCTATGCAGGGTTTTGTGCTTTAACTAGTAGTCTTGGTTCCACTGATAGTTTAGATTAGAACTTGCCTGTTTGGAGCTGAGGGCACGTTGAACGTCAGCCTCCAGCTTGGCCATTTCTTGTAGACTTGAGTCCACATGAGGGGGAACGAGCTCATTGGCACTAGTGTACTTCTGCTTCTCTCTGGTGCTTAGAGCTGCCACTATCCTAAGCCTTGACTGAACTTCCTCTTGCATAATCTGTTGCTTTCGGATTTCCTCCTGGACCTTCTCAACCTTGACGTCTACCACCACCTCAGAGCCAAGTTCATCTTTGATTTGCTGGAGCCAAGTTAAGGTCCGATTGACTTCAGTCTCAAAGTCTTTACTCTGCACAAACCTGTTCTCACACTCCACAATTAGTTCCCCAACAGCTGACTGTAAGGACTGAAGCTCTTCTTGCCAAGAGGTTACCCGCTGCTTTGAAGCCTCATGTGCGGCGGAATCCATGTGGGGTGCCAGATTATCCATCTGCTCCATGAGTCGAGTGAGGTGAGAGCTGGCACCTTGAAGACTAGCAGCCAGGGCATGATAATTTTTCAATCTCTCCTCAGCTGACTGCGTCTCTGCATTGACTTTCACCAGTTGCTCTTTGGTGGCCTTCAGCTCTGAATCCACCTGCATAGCCATGGCTTGATGGTCCTCGAAAGATTCCAGTGTGTCGTCAAGATGTTCTACCCTCTGCTCAATCAATCTTTTCAGACCGTTGTAAAGACTAACCAGTTGGGCCATTTCTTCAGGTCTCCAAGGTTGGCCGGTGCTACGAAATCCCTCTTTCTTCTGGTTAAGCTCACTGACGGCTTGTCCAAGATTAGTCAGCTCCTCCAGGAGGGCTTTATAATCAGCCAGAAGACTGACAACCTCCTCAGTCTTAAGGCTGACGGACTGCGTCCCCAAGTTGTGGAACTGCTCCTCAAGTTCTTTAAGTGCTTTGTGGGTCACATCAATAAAGGAGGCATATTCCTGTCGGGCGAGAATGGCTTGTTGTATTTTCTCTTGTTTCTCCTTGGCTAGTCCCAAAATATTATTGTACTGTTGCGGAAGAGCAATCAATTTCTCATCTAAGTAGCAATGGTCCACTTCATTCAGAGTGGGAAGTATTTCTTGACCTGTTCTTTGCACAGTTAGAAGGAGGTTTTCATACTCCATGGCTTGATCCAATATTTGTTGGTATTTTGTAAGCTGCGAAATTAATTCTGCATCTCCATTCATGAGGTTTATCTCTGGGAAGGTCACAATATCAGCTTGCTTCAACCACTGGCATATCTTTTCGAGATCTAACTTGAAGTACTTCCTGGTCACCAATACTTTTTCCAGCTCCTGAAGCCTCTGGCTACACTTCTGTAGGGCAACTTCGAAGATATTCTGCAGCTCTTGGAGCTTGTTGAGCATCTCGGATTTCTCTTCTTCAGCAGCGTCTTTCATCAGATCCCTACCTTGGGACCACAGGGAGGTCAGCTCACTCTGATAGGCTCTCAAGCTGCTCTGAATGTTCCTGCAAGTCCTCACCTGCTTAGATAGGTCATCAGGAAGAAGGGCTATGTACTCCTCCGCTTGTGCTTTCTTTTCATTCTGCTGGACCCAGGTGATAGCTTGATTCACAGCCAAAAGGAACTGGGTTCTCTCTGTGAAGGCTTTGCTTAGGTGTTTCCTGCGTTGCGCGACTTTGACGCTCAAGGACTCTACCTCTGCTTGAGTTTCTGAGATGAGCTGCTGCAGTCTTTGCCTTTCGTTTAGCCCCAGATGTGCTAAAACCCTATCTGCATCGCTCATGGCCTGGGCCAATAGAAGCTGCTTGGCTTCCAGCTCACTGCATATGCTTAGATGGTCGAAAAGGAAACTCTGAGCTAGTTCAGGTGGAGGACTCATCTTCATGGCTTCAGATAGGGCAGGCTGTTGCTCCTCAGCCCATTCGCAAGCTTCCCTCAAACGGGCCTCAACTTGGCCCATGTCTTCAAGGGTCACAATGGAGTCTTGGATCTTCCTCTCTATGAGACTCTCTAGATGGGCCCATCGCTGCTCAAAGTGGCCAATCTGCTCCTTCACCAGCTCTTTATCATCCAGGTTTAAGTGGTACATTACTTTTTGCTTCTGCTCTTTGAGGTCCTCAAGTGTGCTTTTCTTTTCTTTAAGAACAACCGAGAGCTTCCGAAGAGCCTCCAAATGATCAGATGAACTCTCAGCATCAGTTCTACAAGATCATAAAATAATAATGTAACTCCCAGAAGTCTCAAATTACACTTCCAATGTAGCACTAATTAAAAGTGACATATGAATACATTTACACTAAATCCTGAATATCAGTTTTACCTGGCCAGGTTATCCCATTCCTTGGACACCTGTTCAAAGAGGGCTTCCATGGCACTGATGCAGTCATGATACTCTTTAGTCCTCTGCAGATCTTCCTCTCTCTGAGCCTGCAGTTTGTTGGCCTGATGGCACAGTTCCAGCCATGCATGGCTCAGTCGTCCAATCTCTGTATGCTCAGGAGACTCCTGCCCTTCTGTCAGCTTACTCACAAGCTCTGTCATCTTAGTCAGAGTGCTTTGTCTGCTTTGAAGCTGCTCGCCAAATTCCTACAGGCAACATGAGCACAGAGGATAAGCCAAATGTATAAAAAGAGATAACATTAGAAATGAAAAAGGACTCTTTTATGTTATAAATACATCTCCCTGGTCTTATTGTGAACAATTCATCGGTGCACGCTATTCTAAAAATAAAAGTGCGTTTTCATAATCTATCATCAAATATATCAAATAAATCTCCACAATCTAAAAAAAAATTTTCCCTTCCTGCTGACATAATCAATGCCAGGGCAGGTGAAAAATAATATAAACCAATAAAATCATAGCCTACTTTTCATTAAAAATAAAAGTGCGTTTTCATAATCTATCATCAAATATATCAAATAAATCTCCACAATCTAAAAAAAATTTTTCCCTTCCTGCTGACGTAATCAATGCCAGGGCAGGTGAAAAATAATATAAACCAATAAAATCATAGCCTACTTTTCATAATTCAGTAAAAAAAACTAAATCAAGTCCCATCCTACATTATTTCCAACTGAAATTTTGTTTGACCCAAAGTACATTAAATAATAGAAGTTAAATGTATGTGAATGTCATTCTATGTTGTCTTTAAATAAACAAAAATATGTACATTTATGTATATGAATAAATCATATTTAAGATTTTTTATTTGAAAATTAATTTACTTTGGCTTGATCGAGCATGTTTTGAGCAATCTTGGGCTCCAACTCGGCAGGTCTCCTGGACAGACTTTGCAATTGCTGTTCCATATCTTGGAAAAGTGTTGCGAGTTCCTGTTTTTGCTCTTTAATCTCCCTCCAGCTATCCGACAGCTCTTGAGAAGTGGTCATCCTCTCCTCAATCTGTAGAATTGACAATATCAATTATATTACAATTAACTGGATTAATTTCATATCCCATAGCAGTGTTAGTCGAGTCTGTGTAATCAAACTCACCATCGTTTTGGTTTGCTGTATTTTGGCAGCTGTGGTTCTGACAGGCTCATCAGATAAATCACACACTGAACAAACCAGGTCCAGATACGTACTGGCCTGCTCCTGTAGGGCTCTAAAGTGCTTCACCTATGGATAAGTAGTCAAAATGTAAGTAAATATATTTAAGTTGTGTAGACAACTTTCAAGCTGGTTTGTATTAGCGTAATATCAATCTGCAGCTCTGTGACATCTACCTGTTTCAGAGCCTCTTGGAGGCCATAGGGAGTCTGCGCCTGCAGCTGGATCTCCTCTTTAACAGTGGACAGCCACGTCTGACACTGCTGCAGTGTGTCCTGATGGCTGACGTGCTTCTGGAGCTCACGGTCAAGACTCTGATACACCTGACGAGCCAAATGTTAAATATTAGATTGAAATGATAAGATGGTTTCTACTAATGAGATCCTTTATTAGCAGGAGTGCTCACACGCTGAGCTGTGCTGCAAATAGCCGAATAACTGTCTCTGGTTCCCTGCTGGTGTGCCTGGATCTGCTGACTGATCTTGGCCTGGACTTGCTCCGTGCAGCTACTGGTGAGGAGATCGCCTTTGTCCTTCAGGCTGGTCAAACGCTCCTCAAAACCAGCTATTTCCTCCATTATTGCCTGAGAAGAAACAGTAATGAAACTAAGTATGTAGTAAGAAACAGACTATGAAAATGTTTATAAATGCTGCATGGATGTTTAGTAATTGTATTGCTTGTAAGTTACTGTAAAGCTATTGTTCATGGGATATTGGATCATATAATTAATAGCTATAATAACAGTGCACACACCTTGTGTCTGGCTAGTTGTTGTGTGGCTGTCTCTAGATTGCCACTTTGCATTGAGTCAGAAGTGACCAGCCTGCTAGACATCTGTAACAGCCATTTCTCTACTTCTTGTAGCTCACTGTTATAGACTTCATGTTCTCTCACACTCTCGGTCAAACTCTGAACGTGGACCTACAACAGAAAAATATTAGACCAGCAATAATGCATGGAATCAATGTAGCAGAGACATTCATTTTTAAAGGGTCTGCCTGACAGTACCTTGGCATCATTGCATAATTCTTGATAGTCGGCTTTCAGCTTGCTGATGTTTTCACTGATAGACGGGTCACGGATTGTTTTAAGAAGTGCATCTCCCTTCTCTATAACCGATTTGACTGCTGACTCATGGGACTGGATGGTCTGCTGGATTGTCTAGAAGGGGACAAAGGATGCATTATGCAAAGGATGCATAAAGGGTTTACATGACTCTCTGAAGATGGTTGTATTTGTCACCCTCATAACTAATTCAGTGCATGTATCTTCATTTCTCACCAAAAACATAAGTGTTTTCCTCACCTTATATTTGGCTAGCTGAGCCTTTTTTTGGTAAAGTTCAGCTTTTGGCTCCACTGGAGACGCCAGCAGTGATTTTGTCTCTGTAAGCCATTGTGTTTGAGTCTTGTATTTGTCCAGGAAGTCTTTGGAGAGCTGTATGGATTTCTCTGTGGCACTGAGCTCTGACCGCAGAGCTCTGATCAAAGTCTCCAGCTGGCAGAGTCGGGTGTCGACTTCTTCCTTGAGCTGCTCTGCCTCAGGTTCCTCCAGGAACGTCATGGCACGATCCGTCTTTTCACGCATGGTCTTCAGGAAGGTGTGACCCAGCTCCATGTCGCCCTGCAGAGCCTGAGACATTATATAAAAATTTTCTTATGCACATGATCCTTCAGAAATCATTCTAATATGCTGATTTGGTGCTCAATAAATATTTTTTATTATTATCAATGCTGAAAGCAGTTGTGCTGATTAATATTTTTGTGGAAACCGTAAAAATTCCAGGATTTTTTGATGAATAGAAAGTCCAAAAGAACAGCATGTATTTGAAATCTTGGTCCCACTTTATATTAAGTGGCCTTAACTACTATGTACTTACATCAAAAAATAAGTACAATGTACTTATTGTGTTCATATTGTATTGCAAAACACTTTTGCTGCTATTGAGGTGGGATACGGGCAAGGTTAGGGACCGGTTTGGTGGTATGGGTAGGTTTAAGGGTGGGTTAAGGTGTAAGGGATGGCTCAACGGTGTAATTATAAATGTAATTACAGAAATTAATTACAAATGTAATTACATGCAGGTATTTTTAAAATATAAGTACAATGTAAAAACATGTATGTACGCAATAAGTGCATTGTGCCAAATTATTAATTTAAATGTAAGTACATAGTTGTTAAGGCCACTTAATATAAAGTGGGACCTAAAGTCTTACCAACCCCAATCTTTTGACTGGTAGTGTACAGTATATGCAGGTGAATTGCGTATAATCAATCTCACACACACAAACAAGCACAAGAAATCACTTCACACTATTAAGCGGCTGTGTTATGAACATGCAAAACTGTATCGCATGCGTGCCGCAGTGGTAAATTTATTCATCGCACAGACCAGTTTTTTCGTAGCACGTGCGACATATATGTCGCACTGTACAGCCCTGTTAAGGCAACTTAATATGAAGTGGGACCTAAAAGTATTAATTTTTTCCAACAAAAAAACAAAAAAATCTGACCTCAGACTTTTGAATTGTAGTATAAACTTGTGCACGATAAAGTATGAAGCTTCTTTGGCTTAATAACCAAAGATCTTACCTATTATATTTTTCATACCTCTAGTTTTTTCATTTTCTTCTCCATGGCAACGCGATCGACCACATCAATGGTGGTGGTGGTCACAATGCTGAAGTTCTTTTCTGCTGTGCTCAACCAATCAGAGAAGGTGCTAAAGACACTCTGGGATTCTTCAATGCAGGAAACTTCCTCCTTCAGCTGCTTAATAGTGTCCTGCAAACACATACAGTATAAAATTAATAGTAAAATGTATCATTGTAACTCTTCTGATTTGATATAATAATATAATATAATATAATATAATATAATATAATAAATACAACAGTTTATGGTATGTCCTGATTTAGATGTGTGTGTTTAAAGTGTACCAGCAGGTGTAGCAGCAGGGCATGATAGCGTGACGTGAGTTGTGTAGCTCTAGTGCTGACTCTGCTGCTGATGGGCGTTTCTTCTAAAACTTGTTGGGCCAGGACACTGAGACCCTCTATCTCCTCCTGATAAGCCAGCACCTCCTCATGCCAACCCTGAAGAGACATCACAACAATATATCAGACTCCATCCAAACATACGTTCTACAGGAACAGCACACTTGGAGCCACTGTAGGTTCATGAATCACAATATATTGAGTTTAAACCTATAACCTTCGGGGTCCAACCCAGATCTATGGTAACTACACTGTAAAAACTTTTTTTTTTGAAGTTGCAAATAAAACAAAGACACAAGAAAATGCTATTTCAGTTATTCTGCTTTAAAATTTCACATTTAATTCAATGTGTTAAGTGCCGTTTCTAAATATTTGTGAAATCTACAAACCATTTGTACTGTAATTGAAAATGGTTTCAAAGTAAATCCTACAGTGTGTGGTTCCTGTCCTAACCTTCAGGAGCTGTAACTGTGCCTCTTTTGTTGCTCTGTCAGAGCGGCGGCCGGAGCGTAACTCTCCTTTAGTCTCCATCCCTTTGAGCCAGTTATCCAACCGCTGGAACTTCTGCTCTATCTGCCGGAGTTTGGCCAGAGCGCTGTTGAGCTGAGATCTGGTCTCACCCAGCCGGACCTGATACGAGCCCCACTCCTGCTGGACCATCTCCAGGCATCGGTCCTCTAACTGCGGGACGCCCCAGGGAATCACCTGCTCTCGGGTCACCAGCAGTGTGTTGAGTAGGGCTTGACCCTCTGTGCAATGCACCTGAAGCTCCTGGAGATGGATATTAGAGATATTTCTCTAATGCATATTTATATTGAAATGCCAAAGAATCAAACTATTCAGCAGATAATTACAAAAACTACCATTATGAATATGGATGCACAGTATATTTGCGATCACATTGGTATTTGCCAATATTGGTATTTCTTTAAATAAGTGACTCTAAATCAAGGGTCCTCAGCAAACTTGATGACTTAAATATAATTATTTACAAATTATATAATAACATTTAAATATATAATTTAAATTATTTAGTAACGTTATTATTATTATTATTAATATATTAAAACAATCTAACTTAATTAAAAAGCAGTATTCTCTTTTTCTATGTCTGGTCACAAACATATTAAACAATTATGCATCTTTCTAGCATATATTATAATGTTTTGATGCCAGGTATTTACATATTATATATAAATATTCATATATTTACATATTTATTATGAACATGTTTTTGAAAGCAACAGAAAAAATAATTAAATAATATAATTTATAATGTCAAGACATTATAATAATAACATAAATAACTGGCTATTCGAATTAACCAAAATCTATATCAGTGCATACATTATTATTAATATTTACTGCTAAATCTTAATAAAAAATATATTATAACAAATCATTATTTAATGTCATTTCAAACAGTCATAAACAGTCAAGTTGATTCATATATTGTCATACATATTCATATCTGAATATACATATTCTACTTTACTTAGACATTATATACAAATAAATATAAAATGCATTAGTAAAGATGAACAAATAATGTGCCACAATAACTACTTCAAGATGTCCTCTGACCTGTAGTTTGCGTAGCGTGTCCTCTAGAGTCTCGACGTCTCCCTCCAGCTGTGTGTAGCTGCAGCTCAGTCTCTCCTGCTGTTGCTCCAGCCAGTCTTTAAACTCATGCAGGGTGCGCTGGTACTCCTGATGGGCCGACACCAGCTCCTCCGCTTTGGCAACTGCACACTGTGGCAGAAAAATTTGAGTCCATTTAACACAAATATTCTGCATATTCTATATGGTGACCAATGAGAGCGGTGCATTATACCTGGGCCTTATCTTTGACAATATTGTAGCGCTCTTGTAAGTCCTGAATCTCTAGCTGGGTGACATAGTGCTCTGCCATGTTGGATCCCTTCACGGATACGACATCAAGGATGCTGTTGTGACTTAAAACATCCTCTAGGAGCAACTGAAATGAGGAGAATGTTTGTACAGTATGTCAGGACTGACAACTTCTAGAATGCAATTACTCAAGTATTGACAATAACACAGTACTTTGGCTTTGCCCAGGTTGGTGGTTTTGTCTCTCATCTCAGAGCACTGTTTGTCTGCAGAGTTTAAAGTCTCTTCCACCGTCTCCATCCAGCTCACAAACTGATGCACGTCTTCCTGGTAACTGGTCCACTGTGACAGAGCGCCCTCCAGTTGGCTGTTCGAACACAAACACAGCACTCTTTAATACAGTGAGCAAATTCAACTTCAGCCAAGATCCCCCTTTTCAGCTGTGTGGGATTCTAGAGTTGGCTGTATAGGGCTAGTTCTGCTGTTTTGAGTCTTTTGTTTTTAACTCTAGAAAGCTGTTTTTGCAATGATCATTTATTTGAATAATGAATATAAATCTGATCTTCTGGTTCATATATGCCCGGTTCCAGGAGAAAATAATCATGAGATGAAGCTTCTGTAATTAGTAATCTATTTATGTTAACTAAGAAATATTCATATGTGTTTTCATACAAATATTTAAATATATTTTCATATAAATATATTAATAAATAGAAATAAATATATGTAATTAAATTTTA